CAAGACATTACTTCGAAGTCAATTTTTAATGGCCGCTCAGTGTTCATGTATGATAAACTAGAAACATGAGTTTGTAGAAAATGGTTTGAAAAAGCTGATCTGAGGGTCTCATGCCTCATCCTCTTTTTCCACTTTTGAAAAAGAAATTAGCAAGCATTTTTTCTTCTGGAAAGTCAGATTTTTGCGAATTTCTTCAAATGAATTACAAAGACTATATGTGTGATCTCTTGGTGTTTGCTGCTAATCCCTCATAAAGTTATACTGTAAGAGACGACGATGCTCACTGGCATCGCCTCTTCACAATGGTCGTTGTTTGCCAAAGCGCACAGCGGGCGATACACCATCTCAAACACACCACACACTACACGTTCATCGATGTACTCCATTTCCTCAGCGTCTAAGAGGCGATGAGAGGGGCAAATCGAAGGTTACCCGATTGAAAGAACGAAACTACATCCGAAAATACTCGTAGCGTCGCTCTCATTTTGTATCCCTTTGCAGATCATGGGCTTGTGCCAACCCCAATCATGACATCGTTTCTGCCCTCATTTCATTTTGGTGGCAAACGGAAACGGAGGCATCGTACTATTTTCAGTGAAGAACAGTTACAGGTTAGGCACCCTAACCTTCCTTACTGTAAGCTAAGAACGTTTTTAGCGCTTTTTCTTTTCCAGGTCCTAGAAGCGACTTTTACCGAAACACACTATCCCGATGTCTCACTTCGCGAAAAATTAGCCATTCAATGTGATCTGAAAGAGGAACGGGTAGAGGTTGGTCTATCAACCTATTATACTTCTCAATTTGATTTCTATAGCCTCTTCTATCACCTCTTTCTCCCACTTCCACATAGTCCACTGTTTTGTGCTATTCACAAGGGAAAAAATCTGCAAATTCTTACAAAACTTGCTGCCGATCTTGTCTCGCTTTTTGCTTTCTTTTCCTTCTTGGCATTTGAAGAGGGTATTACATTCTTTGCTCATTCTTTAGCATTATCAGTTACTGTAGCCGAAAGCGAATGGGAAATTGTGCAAATGGTGATCTGTGCGGTTGCAAAGAGACGCAGCAGATCGTAGATTGCTTTCACTCAGTCGTATAGATGTATTTAGTTTTCTACGTTCAAAAGGCACAAGGAGAATTTATAAATCATTTTGCATGAT